TGGAAATAGTTCTATGTTACGTCATATACTACTACAGTAGTAACACTACTGGCTCAGCATTGACACTACTGCGTATCAATAGTAATACTACTGCAATGACAGTGACATTAATAGTATTTTTGTACTTCCAAATGATATTGAAAACTTGTTGAAAACTTGTATGATAGCTCAACATTTAAATTTCATTAATTTAAAAATCAAGATTTCGATATCGATTCAAACTAGAATTAGTCTAGCTAGACTTTGATAGAGTCAATGATATTATTCCTTGATTTTGTGCTTTATAGTAAGAGACAGTTAATAGGTTATCAACATTTATGATAAGAAACATTATTCCCTGAAATTCCTCAATACAAAAATGACGTAATAAGATTATGTTAAATAAACTACAAAGTACAAATAAAAGTAATGTTATTCAGCAGGAGAACAATAAAATAAGATACAAAGAATTACTAGAAGATGTAGACTTTATCGACAATTGTAAAAAATGTTCCGATTCGTATAAAAAAATTCCACAATTTTCTAAAAAGTTATAAAATTATCTATAAATTCTGAAAAATTTTAAGAAAACTTTTATGATTAGAGCGATATTGCAATTGTCGAAATGAAATAAAAAAAAATGTCGATTCGACCTTTGAATGAAAATATTCAAAATATAAGATTACGTATCACAAATTTATACCAAAAATATTAAAAATGTATTAAACTCTTATTGCACTCTCTACATACATAATTTTTTCACTCGAAAATGTTGAATTTCGACGCAAATTTCGAATCGACAACTTTTTCATCGTAACGAAATCGAAACGACATCGAGGAACTATTTCTGACTGCAGCGACATCTCACGAATATTTTGTGCAAGCTTTTTGACAAATGAAATGTAAAAAATTTAATTTAAAAAAAATTTTAAATAAACGAATCAGAATATTATAAATTAAATAATTTAAGTTTGAATACAGTTATATTTTTAGGGATGTTATGAAATGGATGTTAATTAAATGAATGTCTAATGATATGTTCATTGAATCGTACTAAATCTGCACTATTTTTGCACTAAGGCCCGATTATTCCAGTTTTTAATAAATTTTACCTATTAGAGCTACATTCCAAAACTTTCTCTCCGAGGAAGATTTTACTCTGTATGCTATAGTATACGTTACGCATACTATATGTTACGAGTAATTTTCCTCGAGAGAGGAAGTTTTGGAACGTAGCCTAGGTAAATCTGGTAATCCGCGTATGTGATTGGGTAAAATCTTGTTACTTACTCAACAGGTAAAATTTACTAAAAGGTAGAACAATCAACCCTAATGTAGTTACTTAGCACGATGCTAGTGCTGCACCAGTTTATCCAGTGAAAAATGTTATTAGAGTGCATTCAGGTTCCTAAATCATTCCGGTTTTTCTGAGGAATCTGAACACAGCCAAATAAAGCGATAAGAGTCTCATGAGCGGAAATTTACAGCGGAATGGAACAGCTTAACCAATCACAACTCTGCAGTCATTAGTCATCCTATCTTTTCTATAATTATGATTGGTATCGCTGTTCCGTTCCGCTGTAAATTTTCGCTCATTGGACAGCACCCTAAGAATCACTCGGAGAGCAAGCTGCGTTCCGAAACCTATTGAAGAAAAAGTGTTACAACTTTTCTGTGATCAGGGAGTCAATTGTGTATATCAAATGAGGTGAAAATTATAAAAATGAGCAAATTCACTAGTATTCACAGGCCCGAATTCAGAACGCGCTTATAATGATGTTAACGCGCTATAATTTATGCATATTATAGAATTTTAGATAAAAGCGCGCTTTTATCAAGAAAAGTGCGTTAACGAAATGCGCGTTAATGAATATGAGCATGAGATGATATAATTTAATTGATTAACTTAATAAGCTTTGCTCATTTTTGTAATTTTCACCTCCTTTCAAAATCCACGATCAATCCCCAGATATACATTGTTGGAAAACACCAATGCCCGCATTCAGAACGCGCATATTATATGTTACGCATATTATAGAATTTCAGAGATAAAAGTGCATTTTTATCGATAAAAGCGCGTTCTGAAAATGGGCTCCAGTGTCTCTTGTTGGAAAGCTCCCTGTTTTTCTAGGGATTCTAGAGCACTTCAGCCAGAGTGCAGAGTTCTAGGAATAATTCCTGAACGTAGCCTAGCGTGGAATAATTCTCCAAACGACTGAAGAACGTGATCTATAAACTTAAAGGTAAAGAAATAGGATGAGCGAAGCAAGTGATCCAAGTGACATCGAAATGTCCGATAAACAAGACGACAAGGATATAGATTTTAACGTGGATGATTATTGTCATGAAATTGACAGTGATGATTCTTTTATTGAATTGCCGGAGAATAACGTTAACGTATGTCTAAATACTTTATATAAAATTACTTTATAAAATGAATAAATATAAATGTTTATTTTATAATCTTTCTACTTTAAATTGTAATAGAGATACTGATTCGATTCCATTTTGTAAAAACAAGGATTTAAGGTAAATGTTTTCTTTAGCCCACTCTCCAATATTGATCAAGTTAGACTCATTTAATATGTTTTCGCACGAAACGAAAAAAATGGCAGAAAAAGTTGCTCTGCCTCGCAAAGTGAGATATTAATTGTAGAAGATTACTATTATTAAAGTTACGAAACTACCATATCAACATAAACATATGCACTGAAGATCACATGTGCATGCTCTGTGATCCACATACACATATACCTTAAATCTTTGCCTTATTACTTGCAAATTAGTGCACAATATACTAAAAGTAATGAATAACAAACAGATTATAGCAAGACCCTTCTGCAAGATAAGGCATTGTGTATTGACATATTTATTATATTTATACATATATCTAGTTTTATTAAATATGGATATCTATTATATTAAAATATATTAGATATATCTAGTTTTGCACAAGTACCATTACCGAAATCAGAGTGGGGGAAGGAGTGATCTTAAAAGAAATCATATCTATAAAAATTTTATATATTTTATAATTTTATTTTATAATTTTAGCTACAAAGGTAAAAAAAATTTCTTTAAGTGAATATCTGCAATATTTTAAGATAACTCTATACAATGACAATAATATTGTCAGTATTACCAAATACTGATAATATTACTGATCATATATTGTTATTGATGGATTAATGTAGAATAGGATTTATTCAGCAGAATGCAACAGTTTTACAACCTTTGCAAATTTTATGATTGTTGAATGGTCCGTACTCAACTTTTCAATATATTTGTTCAGTAGTTGACATAATTTCCAGCAAAGTAAAAGTATGAGTCACAAACAAAATTAAAAATTTCACACGGACTCGAAACAACACAGCAGGGAATAAACTTAAAACGCAATATTATAAAGATTAGACATTTGATAAAGAGATGCAATCGCTTTGCAGCTATTTTGCTTGTTGAATAAAATAGCTGCAAAGCGATTGCATCTCTTTATCAAATGTCTAATCTTTATAATATTGCGTTTTAAATTTATTCCCTGCTGTGTTGTTTCGAGTCCGTGTGAAATTTTTAGTAAAACATGAAAGAGTTCCAAAGATTATCCTTCGGATTCCACAATATGATTTGTGATATTTTTTGTAAAAAAAATATAGAATCCTGAAATGCAATACTATAAACAAAAAGAACAATTTTTAATTTAAAAAAAGTTAATGAATTAAAGTTTAAAAGTAACTAAATTAATATAAAAATTAATGCATTTAAAATTAACTAAGTTAAGTTAAAAGTTATTAACTTTTTAACTGTTTTTTTAATTATTAATGTTTTAACTAGTTACTACCCTGCACATAAGACACATAAGAAATCCAACCAATCAGAGTTCTTTATTTCATGGAAAAGAAGGAAACAAAAGACTTTCATTGGTACATTTTTTTATACATTACGTGTTATGCATTATGCAAGAGTCTGTGCTCCTCGCTTTACTTTGCTGGAAATCATAACGACCGCTGAATAAACATGTTGAATGCATCTAGGACTGTTTAGCAAACAATCATAAAATGATTGCAAAACTATTGCGTTCTGTTGGATGCATCACAGAATACTGATATTGATCTGGATTTTGATTTTTAAGCATCTCTCTCTCTCTCTATCGCTTTATTAGAATTTATGTCGCAGTGCAACAGATAATATAAGTAAAATTAAATATATTGTACTGGTGTAAGAACTGATGGTTATAAAAACATTTAAAATATTGATGCCTGCTGTCAGTATTATTAATTCAATATTAGTATATTAACTGTATAGGGTCAGCTTTATGCCGAGTCTATAATGAATCTGTAGAATTTTAGGAAGTTTTACACTTTAACTTGCGGCAGAAATGTTACCGTATTATCACGTCCACGCCGTTGATTCCAGATTACGTCGAAAGCAGGATACACAAACGCATACTGGGGAAAAAACAAAAATACACATAAATACAAATAGAGATCCATGAAAACCCGTGCAAAAAGAAAAAATATGACAACAATTTTAATATGTTCGATAGAAAAATCTTTCAACATCATAGAGATATGTAACTTTCGGCATTTCTGATGACACTTCTAGCACTCACCAGTTCTAATGAAAGTTATTAGGTGTACAACTTTGCTTCCGCCGTTTTCCTAGATGGCTTTAGCGGTAAGTGGTGGTCGAAATAAATAGATCATAGACGTCATACAATAAACTTGGGCATCTGTCAACATAACCCCATAGAAACATTAGTCGATTTGTGTCTGCATCATAAAGTTATTCTCCATTGAAAATGTCAGTTTACGAGTCAAATTCTCGTCATTTGCGGGAGGTTTTAATTTTTTGCTTCAATATGAAGAAATCTGCAGCTGAGGCTCATCGAATGCTCTCAAATACTTATGGTGAGGCCGCTATTAGTGAAAGAACGTGTCGTGAGTGATTTCAACGCTTCAAGAACGGTGATTTTGATATCCAAGATCATGCTCTGTATTTGGTGGAACCAGCTCGGCGTAGTGTATTATGAACTGTTAAAACCGACTGAAACAATCACAGGCGATCGATATCGAACGCAATTGATGCGTTTGAGCCGAGCATTGAAAGACAAACGGCCGCAATACAACGAAAGACACGATAAAGTGATTTTGCAGCATGACAATGCTCGATCCCATGTTGCGAAAGTGGTCAAGACATACTTGGAAACGTTGAAATGGGAAGTCCTACTCCACCCGCCGTATTCTCCAGACGTTGTTCCCTCTGACTATCACTTGTTTCGATTAATGGCACACGGCCTGGCTGACCAGCACTTCCGGTCTTATGAAGAAATAAAAAATTAGATCGATTCATGGATAGCCTCAAAAGATGACTAGTTTTTTCGACGCGGGATTCGTATGCTACCCGAAAGATAGGAGAAAGTAGTGGCCAGCGATGGACAATACTTTGAATCATAAATGTATAACCAGTTTTTTACAATAAAGCTTCGAATTTCGGAAAAAAAACGGCGGAAGCAAAGTTATACACCTAATATTAACACTCGAAGCGTTAGGACTAACGGTTTAAGAGATATCGCGATTTTTCGTTCGTCAAATCGAAAATTTCTAACACCCGAGGGGTGAAAATTTTTTTAAAGTTCTGGCAATTCTGTCGACAGTTCTGGGTAGCACGAATTCTAACGAAAGTTATTAATGCTCGAAGCTAGGACTAATTTAAAAGATATCGTAATTTTTTGAATGTCTGATTCTCTCACATCTGAGGGACAACAATTTTTTTAACATTATAGCAGTTTTGTTGATAGTTCTGGATAGCACCCCACGAGGTCTATCAAAAATTATTATCATTTAAAGAGTTAGGATTAATGGTTTAAAAGATCGCGATTTTTTGTTCTTCATTTTGTGAAGTTAGCATCCCAAATTTTTAATTTTTTTTTTATATTAATTCGCCAGAACTATTCTTAATTTTGAACAGAAACTCTAGAACTCTTCGGGGCATTCGGAACTGTGACCAAAATTTCATTTTTTGAAAAATGAGATGCCAACTTCACAGAGATTAGCATCAAGAACACAAACAATTTGTGTGATTTAAGGATCTCTTTCATCAACCTCTGTTAAGTTAACCGATGGTTACGTGCGATTCATTTGTGCTCATTTCCAATGTAGATTAACTTTAATCTCGATTCAACTTACTCTTCATCTTTTTCTAATCTAGAAAAAAAAATAACATATCCTATCCTCTTGGGGCCTAAGCGCCTAAAAACCAGCGTAGACAATGTCCACTTGAAATATTTCTAACTATGAAGACAGTGGGGTATGAGACTAGTCTTTTTAGAACAGTTTTTTTACTATCTAGGCTGCAACTTTTAGCGAAGCGGTATTGTATTATTTTCTTATTGTTTGTAGCGGCGTAGCCGCTCCGAATCAATAAACACTAATCTATACATCCTACTGTCTATATGACAGATTTTCTAACTTCAACAACAGTACAATTATAGAGGTCGTGCGCCCCTTTACAGGAGGAGCAGGAAGAGTGAGAACCGTTTCGCATGGAAAGTCGAAACTCATGTAAAACAATATAATCATAGACAAATACTGTAGGAAATTAAGCAAATGAGAGTTCAGTGCGGTATACTTAATGCACAATCATTAATTCTATGTATAAATTATGTTTTTTACTTGCTGTACACTCGAACGTTTCGACCACTTCTTGGGATCATCCTCAGCGAGATCAACGAAGAAAAAGAAATGTAATAAAATTTTCATCCTCCTGCGTCAGACGATTTCCTACTCGGCTACATATTTTCAAATGTTTCACCAAGATCTAAAACCAGTGACGAGTAATGAAATAATAACAGATGCCTATGAGTTGTTAAGAATTAGTCTTAAAATATTATCAAATGAAAATTGTGAGAAGATTCACTTGAAGAACAGAAGTGTGAAATAACAATTTAATTACAAATTAAGCAAGTTTCCATGTCAATTTTATAAAATTTTTTAACGAGATAACATTGTAGCTATGATCTATATCTATGTCAGAGTCGTTATGATTTAAAAATTATTATTTACGAGAATACAAAGGTGAAAAACATAAATAAATAAATAAATACCTATTTTATATATTAGATATGGGAAAAAATTCGTAGTTTTTTTAATGCCATCTAACGGGAAAAACGCCACGAACTTTTTCCCATCTAATATGTAAAAACAAAATATTACTAGAAGCCGTGTAAAGTTACTAACAACGAGAATTAAAATTATTGAAAAACTTATTGAGAATGTCCACATACGCATGATTGAGATATTCAGTGTCTGATTGTAAATTTATACTATTTTTTTTTGCAATTTGATACATAACATTTCGGATGTTAAATGTTTATTTAAATATCTTTCGCTATCTAGGATTTT